CCTATTAAGAGCTCCTCAAACCCAGTTGTCTTTGAAATGGTTTAAACACTCTTCCTATTTGCTCTTCTACATCTAGGTGTAAGATTGTTTTGTGACTCTGCCTCCACTGTGTGGACGATTCTGTATCCTTATTGAATTAGAGTCAGGTGACAAATGTTGACAGGTGAGAGATAAGGGACAATTATCACAGCTTGGTGCAGTCAGCCATTTCTCATCATGGCTGGGTGCCGCCGTCAAATAATGGGTGTTACTGTTTGCTAGGCAAACTCCGTGGCGGCACCTGCTGGGTAACAGAGACGAGCTGTTTTTCTTGCTGGATTATTCCGTGAAATCTCTGCCCTTTCGAGGAACACTCCTTACTTTAACTTCAATAATATCTTCTAAAAGGGCAACTTCAAACTGTTGGTATCATGGAGTATCTTAAAGCTGAACTCCGGGCTAGTTACTAATTGTCTCCCATTTTTCCTGTCCCGATACAGGATATGATCTGGTAATATTGTAGAAGGAGCAGGAGAGGTTCAGTCACAGAATGGATGAAGCAGACACAGGGAGATCCTTGCACTGCAGGTCCTCAGGTACAGCTTCCTCTCCAGCAAGGAGAACAATGAGCAACACAGGAGTGACACCAAATCTAACTCAAACTCCTCTCACTAGCAGTCCCTTCGATTATTTCACACAACATATATAGAACCATGAGGTGTATGGCACAGAAGCGCATTGTTATGTTTCAGGAGGAATTGAAGGGACAATGTGTACAGTTTTTAGGGTACTGCTTGGGTACAATTAACCTTACTATATATTCCCCATCAGACAGCAGATCTTGACTGAGCATGGCCCACAATATGTGCAACGTAATCAACTACTGGGCTCTGTGTATGATACTGCTTTAAAGGAGAACTATGAGGTGAGTGCTTTTCACTCACCTCATAGTTCTAGCCGACCTGTGACAATGAGACTGTCACAGGTCGGCTCAGTAGATCGGGAAGTGAGCGAACACATACCAGCGTTCGCTCACTTCTCGATCCTGTCACGGCTCTCTGCCGTGACAGGGGAGGGGCTGCATTCCCCGCTCCGATCCGCCAGCGCTGGCTGGCGGAACAGACGGGGGAGGGGGCGGGTACAGCTGGCTCTGCCTCTAGAAAGGCAGAGCCAGCTGTCAGTCACGCAGCTGGGCGGATCTCGACATAATTGTCGGGATCCGCTTCAGCTGCGGCGTCTCAGCTCGCGGTATACTGAGCTTTGGGTGACGGGAGGACGCTAGTTTGTGTCCTCCCGTTACCTTAAGGAGAACTGTGTGGGAAAAGCCCTAACCCCATAGTTCTCCTTTAATTACCTTGACGCTGAAAGACCGCATGTGTTGTTATTCTTACTTAAGTGCTGAAAGCCAGCATGTGTTATCAGCATTAGTTCATGCAATTGATGGGGCAGCAACTGTTAGACCTTAGTGGGCCTTTCACCTCTGACTCTTAGCTCCAAGAGTTGCTATCAAAGTATGTAAACGAAATAAAAGTGTAAATACAAATCTTTCATAAGTATGCTTGAAAATGTTAATACTTTGAAGCAGGGGTGGGCAAATACGACCCTGCAGCTGTTGCAGAACTACAAGCCCCATGAGGCATTGCAAGACTGACAGTCACAGGAACGGCTACAAGAGGCATTTTTGGATTTGTAGCTAAAGCACAGCTGGAGGGCCGGAGTTGCCCACCCCTGCTCTAAAATGAATGTATAGCTAAAGCCTTTTTTTGCTGTCTGTATCTTGCTGGGGAGATATCCCTTCACTTCCCGAGACATAACAAGAAAGAAGAGAAAATCTTCCCCAAGTGAATCGAATTCCCATCTCAGTTGTCACTGGAACATTTTGAAGAATTCCTCTTACCTGTTGCTTTGGTAACAATTTTAAAATGTTGTGTTTCCCATCACCTTCTGTCTCTGTGACATTAGTCGCCAGGGCAGAAAAAGAGAGTGAATCCTGCCCAGCAGGGACATAGACTTCAAGATGAACTTTGCAGAGGGTCTAACCCCCACTCTGTCCAAAACTTTAAAAAATTGTTTCTTTTATTTACAGTTTACTGGAATATTCGGATGATTGCATAAAGCCAGTCGTGATGGTTCTCCTTAAAGCAGCAGCTGTCTGAGGCCATGTTAAGGTTGCAGCCAGTGTGTGAGGGTTTGGGAAATGTCAGTCTCAAAGGTCATAAAAGCAACAATGTCAATTGATATCCATCTCCTTTAAGAAGTATTAAATGGCTCATCATCATTTTTGTTTCTTATATACCAGCGCCCCCTACGGGTAGAATCAGTTACTACACTTTGAGACATTTTTACTCTGGGTCTTTCCAATTTGTGGGCTCATTAATCTTCCCAGCCTGTTTTTTTTTTATATAAAGACAAATGACATTGCCTAGTAAATTAAATTATTCTGAATTATCCTTCCTGGTATTTAATATGGTGTGCTAAGGCTATGTCAATACATGATGCATGCTTTGTATTTGATTTGATCCAAGAGATTTATTTGTTGACCAAGTGCTAAAGCAGCTGTGTGGTAAGCCATAGTATGCACAGGCCAGTTTTCTTGCCTGTAGTAACTAAATACAACCCCTGGTCCAATTTTCAGAGTAAAAGCTGAAACATGACTTGTTACTTTGGGCAAAAACCTGATTTAGTTTATTATTATTATTATTATACAGGATTTATATAGCGCCAACAGTTTGCGCAGCGCTTTACAATATAAGGAAGACATTACAATCACAATACAATTCAAGACAAGATGGTAAGGAGGGCCCTGCCCCTGAGGGCTTACAATCTAAAAGGGAGGGGCAATTGATACATGAGGAGGTAGCTGTGTGGGGATGAATTGTTTGAGAATGTGATAGTTGAGTGGTTAGGTTGAGGTGGGATAAGCTTCCCTGAAGAGATGAGTCTTTAGGGATCGCCTAAAGGCAGTCAGGGTGGGAGATAGACGGACAGGTTGGGGTTAGTTCCCCTCTTCCTCAAGGAACCAAGGTGATCCTCTCCTCCTCCATTTTCCTCAGCTCCCTATATTTCTATGAATAGAATGTCTAAATGCAGAATACTTAGACCTAAGCTTGATATACCTCAAACTATCTGAATTTACAATCCCTGTTAATGACTTGCAAGGGCCTGACTGGTGTAACACAAACTGAATGGATTGTTTAGGTTTGTCCTCATATTACATAGATTTGGTAAATTTAAAGAAGATTGTACAATCAGATTACATAGCCCTAAAGGTTAATGTGATCTCTGCTGATGGGACATTTGGCCGCCTGATGGTTTATAAACGGCAGTACAGATATAAGCATCCATCACTTCTCTGTTCCAGACTGTATCTTGGTAGGCAAGTGGTTAACGTTGTGTGCTTTCGTACAAAGTTGCTTTTGTATTTTTAGAGTTTTCCCTGCTTTTCTGGCTGGCGCTTCTGTATAGGAGAATGAGAGGTGAAGGTCATAGACGATGGAACAGGAAGAGACAGCTTTCTGCCTCTGAAATGTTAAGTATCGCCTCTGGTTGTGCAGCACTGCTACACTTCTCCTTTTGTTCCGAGGTGGTGGCTTGACAATAATTCTTCTGGTTGCGTAATGCAGTACGGTAATTCATAACCGCTTGGTCAACATACATTATTGTGTACCTTGAACGCTCACTGTGCGGGTCTCATTAATATATGCATACATACAACTCACAGTTACAAATGAACTGCCAGGACAACGGCCTATACCTATAATTGCAGATCTTTAGTCACACCAGCTCTCTGTCTTCATTAGCCAGTGCAAGAATGCCCGTTATCTGGTTAAGTTGTAATTTCAGATGGTGTGCAGGGGATGTTTGCCTGTAGCTCATGAATTGTACCTTTCAGTTGATTAAAGTAGATTTAACCCGAATTACATTTGGATTGCTGAAGTATTGTGTATTATATAGAACTGCTATTTGTTTTTTCTTGTGAAAATTACTTGTTTTCATCCATTGCTCGGTGATTTCCTGCAGTCTCTTTGCAGCTACCTACTATACTTCAGCAATGACTGCATGGCATTTCTCGGGGTGATTTTTACTGATGGTATAAGAGAAATGTCCCCACCACACACTCATTTGTTTGTTCTCATCTCCTTCTCCTCTTCCTCGTCCCCTCCTTATTTCTTCCTTCTCATCTCCTCCCCCTCCTCATTTCCTTTCCTTTCTTCCTCATCTCCTTCCGCCTCCTCATCTCCTTTCTCCTTATCGCTGTCTCCCTCCTCCATCCCCTTCCCAATCCTCATTTCCATCCCCACTCCTCATCTTCATAACCCCTCCTTGAGCACAAGAAGTTATCAAATCACAAATGTTCTAGCAAAATCAACAGGATTTTTTTTGCACTTCTCAAACGGATTCAACAAAACACTTTCAATCATATATTTGTCAGACTAAAGGGAACAAGCAACACAAGGCAGTCGTTGGGGTCACATTCATTGTAATCTATGCTTTGTTATATCTGTCCCATTGTTGTAAATGCAGAGAATTTAGATTTAGGGAGCACACTTTACAGAGGTAACTTGCAGTTGGCAGCGCGGCTTCACAAGTACAGTATTTGTAATTGTATGCAACAAAAACCTTTTTTATTTTTTTTTAACCAGGAATGTTGTAACAGTTTCATTATTGTGCAGACTAGCTGGAGCGTATGCTGGGGAAATGTTGTATTGTTTTGTAGAGTATCTAGAGTAGTGAGTCAATGTACAGTGTATAATTACAGTTGATTATCTAATAGGTATAGTTGTTTGGTCATGTGACTGACACTTTCCTCGTTTGTAAAGCTCTCTATAGAAACAGAACTCAGTTTTTACTGGTTTGTATTTTCCTGAATATATAATCAAAATACCGCAAGTATAAGTACCTGCTCCTTTTATATTCTATTTCTATTATCTCCTGTATAGAAGAAGTCCGGCTGATCAGTCCTTATTCATTGCACTCTACACAAACAATAAGAGTTTCTTTTCTTTAATACCATACTAAAGATATCTGACGAATGGACAGGCGAGTGTGGAGCGGTTCCCCATCAGCTTTAAAACTCAGTTCTCAGGGAACTATTTTCACCATGTCGTGCTGGGGATTCACTGCAATGGACGCTACGGCACGCTGGGAATGAGCCGGAGATCAGACCTCATGGACAAACCCTTGACTTTTCGGACTCTAAGTGAACTCATTTTTGACTTTGAAGACTCTTACAGAAAGTATTCGCACACAGTCAAGAAAGTCAAAATTGGCTTGTATGTTCCCCACGATCCCCACACCTTTCAGCCCATTGAATGGAAGTATCTTGTCATCAACATGGGGAAGATGGTGAGAGCAGACATCAAGAAGGAGCTGGAGAAGCATGCCCGGGACATGAGAATGAAGGTGGGTGGTGTGCTGGAAAGCCAGAGAATTCATAAGGCCAAAAAAAATGTAAAGATATTTTAAAGCCCAACTTTTTATTGTGGGACTGTGTTCCAATTGGGGGGATTTGAAAAATAATTTGAACTTCTGTAGATGGACAATGCCTTGTGCTTTCAGTTGCCTTCAACTGCATTTGAGTTCCATCTGAGAACCTTCACAAGTGCATCTGCAGTAGACCTTCTTATGTGCTGTTGACCTCCTGCTAAGATGCCTCAAGCTGCCTCTGCATATTCATTGCAGTGTATGCAGAGAAAAGCCATTCAGACATGAGCAAAAGCCATGTGTACAGGCCCTGATAGAGTTTGACCTGTATGTCTGAATTTATAGTTCACAGTCAGTTGGTAATTCATTTAAAGAAAATCTTTCCTGAGAGAAGCATGGAAGCGGCCATTGCTACTTCTTTTTCTGCAAACAGTTGCATGGCTGTCTTGATGAGCCCCTAATGTCAATACTTTAAAAGAGAGCTATGGGGTAAGTGTTTTTCCCCTTAGTTCACTTAAGGGTCATGGGAGGACATATACTAGCGTCCTCCCGTGACCCAAAGCTCAGTATATTGCAAGCTAAAGCTTGCGGCATACTGAGACCGATGCAACCGGGATGGATCCTGACATTACTGTTGAGATCCACCCAGCTGTGTGAGTGACAGCTGGCTCTGCCTATCTAGAGGCAGAGCCTGCTGTACCCGCCCCCTCCCTCGTCCATTCCTTCAGTCAGCGCTGGAGGAGCGGGGAGGGGGGTCGAATCCCTGCAGGGAGCCGTGACTGCCAGTCACGGCTCTCTGCAGGGAGATGAACGAGAAGTGAGCGAGCGACAATATGTGTTTGCTCACTTCCTGATCTATTGAGCCGACGTGTGACAGTTTCATTGTCACATGTCGGCTTGAACTATGAGGTGAGTGATTTTCACTCACCTCGTAGTTCTCTAAGTCTCAACCCTAGAACAAGTATGTAGGTAAGGACTTCTCTGACTACTCTAAATTTTCACATCTGCCTACTTGATAGAGGTCAGTGACTTAGAAAGTACTGAGGCCAGAGAATCAGCACAGCGAAAAAGTTACTGCACTGTATTTCCTAATGTGATGTTTTATAGCTGACTGTGAAGCTTTCTCTAGATTAGCCAGGTTCATAGCAGGAACCTCGAATCATGTCTCTGCAATTTTTGTAGATTCTGAAGTCGTCCTGTGTTCAGTCACCTGTGAAGGAGAGAAGAGGAAAGTCTGTTTCCCCTCCCAGAATCCGTATCAGTCCCCAGAGAAGAGTCTGCAGGAGAGACAAGTCGTGAGTATTAAATATACCTGGATTCTAGATATAAATATGGATGAATGGACTTTGTGTCATTTAGCGCTTTTAGCTCTTTTTGGTTGGGTTGGCTTTTATACTGTCCTGAATTATTTTCATAATATTCCAGTGATAGCTGGAATCGGGGAACTGCTTAGGGGTGCAGCCCCTGACTTTTGACTACAGCAAAAAAATGTATCTATGTCTTGGACAAAGGCTCAGGTTCCCTATCTGGCTGTCTTCCCTGTCTGGCTGGTGCAGTGTTTACTTCCTCCTGTACTGTTTACCTGTCTGTAGAGCCATGCCTGTGTTAAAAACAAGGCTGGTAGGATCTGATGCTTTTTATGCCCCATGATCCAGTGTGCCACAGACCCCCTCTCTGTCTTCAGCTTGATCTTGTTACATGAAGAACTTGTAGTAGTAATCATTGTGCTGGCTCTAAATAGACTATTCTACACATGGTAGGCGCTTTTTTGCTGCATAATCTGAAAAAGATCGGGGACTGAGGGGGGCATTGTCATTATTTTTCTATAAAAAGCCCACATTGAGACCTTCATACAATACCAGTCCAGTGGTAGGGCTGCAACTAACAATTATTTTCATAATCGATTAGTTGGCTGATTATTTTTTTGATTAAACGGAAACAAAAATGAAGACAATCTTTTATTTAAAATACTCAAATGCAGTGTTACAAACAAAGTTTACTTCACAATAAATCTGCATGCACAATTTCAACAATTGCACTGCGCTAAAACGCACGGCATTGCGGGACCGCACGTAACAGAGTTTGTGAGGCCAAAACGGAAAATGACTTTCCCCCCCTTTTAAAAAAAAATAATTGCATGTATTATGTTAGACATTAGTTTAATTTAGTTTCAAGGATTTAAAATCTAAATTGAAAAACTCCAAGCCAATATAATAATATAACCAAACTTTTATTTAAAATAAAACACCAAAATTGGACCAAAAAAACAATTATTTATAAAAGAGAATATATATATATATAT